GGGCTGGGGGGGTCGCGTCCGAAAGCCCTCACACCGGTCCGGGTGCTACCTCTCCCTGCTTGGGCGCCGCCGCGCGAGCGCTTCCCTTCCCCCTGCGAGCGCCCGGATAATGTCTGAGAATGTCCATTTCTGGGACGCTTAGCAGCTATTATGTCGACTCGATCATAAGTCACGAGAGTGAGGACGCGCCTCCAGCCAAGTTTCCTTCTGGCCAGTACGCGAGCCCGCGGCAGCCGGGCCACGCGGAGCACCTGGAGTTCCCCTCGTGCAGCTTCCAGCCCAAAGCGCCGGTGTTCGGCGCCTCCTGGGCGCCGCTGAGCCCGCACGCGTCCGGGAGCCTGCCGTCCGTCTACCACCCTTACATCCAGCCCCAGGGCGTCCCGCCGGCCGAGAGCAGGTACCTCCGCACCTGGCTGGAGCCGGCGCCGCGCGGCGAAGCGGCCCCGGGGCAGGGCCAGGCGGCGGTGAAGGCGGAGCCGCTGCTGGGCGCGCCTGGGGAGCTGCTTAAACAGGGCACGCCCGAGTACAGTTTGGAAACTTCGGCGGGCAGGGAGGCCGTGCTGTCTAATCAAAGACCCGGCTACGGGGACAATAAAATTTGCGAAGGAAGCGAGGACAAAGAGAGGCCGGATCAAAGTAAGTTATAAAAAGTGAGGAAATACCCAGGCCGAAGGCCAGGAGGGGGCGGGGAGGGGAAAGGCAATAAACTGCCGACAATGTGAAGGGAAACTGCGGCGGTGGCCGGAGAGCGGGCCGGGAGGAGGGGAGAGGAAGGAAGGTCGGAGGGAAGGGGGAATGCTGCGTGCTCTGGAAGGGGAGACTGAGGCCGCCAGAGGAGCGCTGCCCCCACTTCTTCAAGTCGTGCGGGGAACAGGGGCTCTGGGATCGACTTGCAGCTCTCTCGGCCCTCTTTCCCCCTGTCTCCCGGAGGCCCCAGCTGAAAGCCCGGCCAGAGACCGGCGACGGCCGGGAGAGGAGCTGGTGGGGCCGGGGGCCAGCGGCCAGCGAGGCGGAGAGCCGTCGAGGGCAAGGGCCGGAGCGCACTGGGCTGCCCGGGACCGTGCGGCTGGCAGAGCTCCCCGCTCCCGCGCAGACCGTAAAAGCCGGCCAAGGGGAAGGGGGAGGGGGCTCATTAGGATTTTATTTGCGATGCAACAGCTTGGCGGAGAATTGTTCCTAGCAGATCTCGTGCTGTAGCCGCGCAGAGTCCGCAACCGGCGCCGGGAGGGGCGGGGGAAGCCCAGGACGCGGTGACTGAGCCCCCTCCCCGGATGCGCCGGCCCCTCCCCGGGAGGCTTCTCTCTGGTGGCCCCTCTCCTCCTCGGCATCTTCGCCGGGGCTGCCGCTTCCTTTTCTGCGGTCCTCCCCCCACCCCGCTGCTCTCTGCGGGGCTCCCTAGCCCCAGCCCGGGCTGTCCGCCTCTTGGGGAGTCGGGGAATCGCTTCCGAATATCGGGACATCCCGGGGAGAGGAGGGGTCGGGGGAAGAGAGGGTTGCAGAGAGGCGGAGAACTTTACCGTTTATGGGTAGTTTCCCATCACCTCCCACTCCTCAAAAGCACCCCAGTCAGAACGCCAAGTCTGGCTGATTTCCAGGAGGTGCTACTAGGTGAGAAGAGAGGGTTCTCCTATTACTTATTTTTAAGGTTGAGAAGGGCCCTTCGGCGAGGGAACTCAGCCCCAAACAATGACTCGCAGGCTGGTGAATCAAGTCCTCGTTTCTTACTCTTTTTGGGAAGTAGGGATTTTTTCGTCTCTCCTTGCCCTGTTAGGTTTCCCATTGACGGAGTGGCCCCAGGGCTCTTTAGTGCATCCTTGCCTGCTGGAGAGTAAAGAGCTGCTCCATTCCCTGCAGGGCCCTGTCACCTCCAACCCGCCAGGTGGAATCCTAAGAGCTGGCATTTGGGGAAGACATTCTTCCCCAACTCTCCCCGCACACTCCCAAACCGACCCCCCACCCTAAAACCCCAAACTCTCCCTGAAAAGTCCATTATTGCAAGGCAGCCATTTGGCTAGAATCAATTATTAACAGTTTTTTCCCTCTTTCATATTTAATGCGGCTGCGGGTCCCATCCCAGGCAATCACATTAAGGAAATAGCACTGCAAATTGGTAAGACAGGGTACTTAGTGTAGGATGAACCAAATTTTTTATATATAAAAAAAATCCAGTGTTTTTCACTTGGGGAGAAGGAAGCTAGTAGCTGGTGGCTATTATTTTTAATTGGCTTAGCTTTATTTGGCAACTTTTTTGAGTTCCAGAGCAGGGGGAGAGAGGGTAAGAAGAGGAGAAGCCTGTATATATTTTTGTTTCCTCTCTTCCACTCAGTTACCCTCTTCTCCCCTCCAGCCCCCACATAGGACCAGTTAAGGCTAGGTGTGCTGTGAAGGGCTTCCTTCTACCTCCACATCACCCCTGGCTCCCCACCTTGGGACTGGAGCAATTTTACTCCCCAATTTCCCTGAACTTGTGTTAGCCAAACTGTGAGCTGAGCAGGAGCTGAAAAGGAGAGAGACTATTGCAACCATAAGTTATCTGTGAGCCCCCGGCGCTCCCCTGTCCATAGGCTGGAGTTGATAAATGGTTGCAATTGCGTTGCGTGTGAATTGGAGTGTGCTGCCTGTTTGTGGCTCTAAGTGCAGACCCATATTTGTGGTGTGTGGTGGTAACAGAGGGGGAGATTTCTACACAGACACATGCCTGCTGCCATGTGGTCTAGAGACACAAGTTTGTGATCAAGGCAGGGTGTACTGGGACTAGACTGAAGGGCTGAAAGGTCTCTTGGGGTGAAGTGACACCCCAAATGTGGTAACTGAACAGACATCTCACTTCCCCACCCAAATCCTCCTCTCACCTCCTAGAGCCAGGACCCTTCAAGTCAGCTACCCACCCCTAGCCAGCCTGGGGGTGTTGCTGGTGGGGCTTCAACCATGCTGAACTCTGACCTGAGTCCTAAGCAGTTTGGACCCAAGTGGAGAAAAATTGAGAGGAAACTTGATGTAGGCAAAGCTTTGGAAATGTTGAAGAAGCCTGGGCCTACGTTTGGCTCCATCCTTTCCACACAGCTTCTCACCTGGAGGTGTCTATAGCAGTGGCTGGCCCATCTGTGACACCCTTCCTGAGAACTTGAAGGCCCAGGTGGCCTCTTCTCCAATGCAAGATGGGGAGTGGAGACCAAGGGTGTGCCCTCTTGGTCTGGGGCCCTTCAACCCCTTTCCTTCCTTTGATTCTATCGCTGCTTCTCTTTCAGCCAACCCCTCCGCCAACTGGCTGCACGCTCGCTCCTCCCGGAAAAAGCGCTGTCCCTACACCAAATACCAGACGCTGGAGCTAGAGAAGGAGTTTCTGTTCAATATGTACCTCACCAGGGACCGTAGGCACGAAGTGGCCAGACTCCTCAATCTGAGTGAGAGACAAGTCAAAATCTGGTTTCAGAACCGGCGGATGAAAATGAAGAAAATGAATAAGGAGCAGGGCAAAGAGTAAAGATTAAAGATTACCCCCAGTCCTCCCCAGCTCTTCCCCATCTCACTCTTATTTATGTGACGACTGCAAAGCCAGCGTTGTCTGGGATGTATTCAAGTGAATGGGGAAGGGAGTCTCTCTTCTAAGTCCTTTATCTGCACCTAGAGCCTCTCTCCTTTCCTTTGCCCTTACCTGTCTCTCTCTTCTCCCTGGGTGTCAGGAGAAAGTTTTGTTGATTTAGAAGATAGAAGTAGCTGGTTCCTAAGAATGTGATTGGCCACAAGGAAAGAGAGACCCTAGTCAAGCTCCTAGTATGCCCTGTAATTTTTCTGGGAAGTCCTAGCCCCTCACTTCCAGCTTGCCTGTTTCTTCTCTACACCCACTCAAAAGTCACCCAGGGACACTCCAACTCCACACAGCTCAGCAGACACCCACACAGTAATAATGGGGCAAGCTCACAACCACCCTTCAGTCAAGTGAAATGACGCTCCAGATGCAGACCATCGCACACCAAATTTGGCAAAACAGCCCTCAGATCATCAGGCAAGCCCGGATTCTATCCCTGATGCAAATACCCACTGGGGAGATGTCTAGAGGCAGACTCCTGAGTGAGGTGTTGCAGCCCAAAGGCTGCAGCATTGCCATACCATCCCCATGGAGTTGCCAACTATTCTCAGGCCAAGGGCCATGGGGAAGATGGGGCAAACCTAGCCCCCAAGCTGGTGGGCTAGAAAGTACAAGAAAAGGCAGCACTTGGTTTTATGAAGGTATCTTAGGTGGAGCTACTCGCCACCTCCCACCAACATGTACATTTTGTTGCAGGAAATGTTTAATTCTGCATGATGTTTCCCTCTCCTTCCAACAAAAGAAGGTCAAACTGTGGGTCGTAGAGCCTTGACAATGTTGTCCTCCTGTTCATCTGTGCACCACTTGACAGACTGTAGCTTCTCTTACTCTCCACCGGCCCTGCATTCTTCCGCATCCTCCCTAGCTCTGAAATCAACTCTCGAATCCACCTTGCACCCGCGAGTAAAGCCGCCCCTTGTAGAAAACCCCCTCCACCCTCCATTCCCCGCTAGGTCAAACCCCACTGTAGACAGGAAAGCCAGGCCAGGAGAGTCCGAACGAAAATTTATTGTGAATCGATTCCCAAGCTCCCTTCCGGGACAAGTGGTCTGGGACAGGGAGGAGCAATGGCCCCAGCGCTCAAAGCTCTAGCGTTCCTCCGAATCCCGTCGGCTTCCCAACCCACGCGGAGGAGCCCCGGGCCTGGCGGCTGCAGCCCCAGCGCTAAAGGAGACCGGCCTCAGGGCCGGGCTTTGCCTCCTGCTTCATGGGCCTGGATGCCGATCTGCGCGGCTGGTGCGTGCGCGCGCTTCTGGGGAACAGTCCCGCGTGCAAAGGAAAGAGGCAAAATCGCACCTAAGCATCAGATGGAAGCTTACTCTCTGCTTCCCCTCCTCCCCCTGCTCCCCTACTTCTCAATCCCCTTCAATTCGTAGACTCTTGCTCCTGCTTCTCCTGATCCTGCAAGGGGACATTCCAGTAGAAGTTTTTTGCTTTGTCGGTGGCTGTTGTGAAATTGTGCTTGTGTTTCGTGATTTCTTTGGGGGTGATTGTCTCGCCTGTTTTCAGTTGTCGATTATATGGGAGGGTTCTGGGTGGGAGTGGGGAGGGGTAGGAGCCTAGAGCTCTAATTGTTTGTTTTGGAAGAAAAAAAGAAAAAGAACAAAAAATATATATCACTATAGAAAATAAATCTCTCCTGTGTCTTATTCTGTGTTGGCTCTCTGGGCCTGACCATAGGTAGAGATCCCAGTTGTCAGGAGAAAGGCTTGAAAAAAAAAAAAACAACAAAAGATAGCTGAGTTCAGCAGGTTTCTCCTTAGACCCTGCAGGGCAAGGTCCCCTGCAGAGCTCTCTAGAGGTGGAGCTGAGAGCCAGTCCCAGACCTCAGGTCCCAAGACTACTGGTTAAACTGATCAAGAGCCTTCCAACAGGAGAACTGGAAAACTGGAGGTGGTGGGGAAGGAAATGTGGGTTGTCTGGAGAGGGGACAGGGTCTGGAGAGCAATGAGGTCCTGAGACCTCCTCACTGACTTGAAAATAGGAGGGAAGGTAGGTCTTCCTGCAGCTCCTGAGAATGTCACCTTAGTTTGGCCACTTTAAAATATGATGCAAGGGAGGAACACAGTAATTTCCCTCTGTTCTTCCCTGCGGCAGGGTGCCTAGGTCTAGACAGAGGCCTCCAGAGGGCTGGAATCTCCTTCCTTCCATTCAAAGGGAGCCAACCCCTTAGGGTTCTCGGCCTCCAGCTGGGGTTGGAGGCTCCAGTTTGAGCCACAGGGTAGCAGCCTTGGTCTGAGCTGGGTTGGGTTGGTAGGGGCTGAGACCTGGGTAAGCACCTCTGCAAAGGGTGGAGAGGGCATTGAATGTGAAGCAGAAATGTGTTAGTAGAAAAATTCACCACCCAAAAGGACCCCAGAATTAAACTCAGTTTCAAGAGGCACCTTTTTGTCCCTCTCAGACTGAGGGACTTCGCCAGAGCCTCTCATGAAGACCGCAGTTTTGGGCAGCCTGCGCTTCTCATCCAGGCCTTGGGATTCCACTTCGGCCGGGCCGGCGCTCCGGAGCCGGCCTTCCGCAGGAGCCTCTCCCCAACCCAAGCCGACAACACTGCGGCCCGCGGAGACCCTGCGGGTTGGGGTAGAGTTGGGAACAAAGCATGGCCCGAGTGAAGGGAGCCTGCAAGTGAAAAGACCAGGCCTACCCTCCTCCAACGAAAGGACAAACTGATCCGAGTGAGGGCAGGAGGCAGGAGAAAGCGGAACTCGGCGTCAGGCAGGCCCGGACAGGCACCCTCCAAGGAGGGTTTCACTGGGGATACAAAATGAATCTGACTTTACTGCGGGTGTAGACCAGGCTCCTGCCCCATCCTGGGCTACCCAGGCCCAGCCAGTGCTGACAGCAAACACAGAACGTCGGTTTCTGCCTAAAGCAAACGCTCAGCGAGGCGGGAACAGAGGGGAACAGAGGGCAGTGCTGCGTGGTAGGGGCGAGGGCGCTTGGAGGGGCCTCTGCCAGCAGCGTCTGTGTCCCCAGCCCAGGGCTGCTTCTTTAAAGACAAACAAAGGCGAAGATGCGGAGGCTCGGAAGCTGGAGATGGGGAAATCAGTTGTCATAAAAGAGAGATTCAGAGAGGGAGACCGCCAGAGTGCGAGGCAGAGAGAAGCCGGGAGAGGAATTCAATGCCGTGTGCGCAGCAATAAAAGAATATGACCGCTATAAAAGTTTATAGCGTATAAATTTCTGAAGGTTAAGAAACTAAACAGCAGCAAAGCAAACAGCGAGGGGAAACTTTCCGGAGCTGAGAGAGCCGCAGCTGGGCCGGGGCTGCCGGCCGGGCGGGGGAATGGGAGGGCCGCGCTCCGGCCGCCTTCACCCTCACACGCCCAGAACGCGGGACTCCGGGTTTCCGGGGCGGGGGATGAGGGGGCTGGGGTCAGAGAGGGAGAAGAGAGAAGCCGGGGAAGAACACTCTGTTGTCTCAAACGCTTCAGAGATTGCAATTGGGACTCTTGTCTTTGTTCTTCACACCCCCTCCAAAATCAGGCGTCCGAAACGAGGAGTCTCCTGCGCGCGCGCGCACACACACACACACACACACACACACACACACACGCAGGTCCAGCGGGGCCAGACGTCTGGGCGCGGGCAGCCTCTTGATTCTTTTACAGTCTCGTCCCATCCTGTCAGGCCTCCTCTCCCCCGACGACAAAAAGCCCAATTGTTTCTCCTCAGGATTTGAAACAGTCGTGTGAAGTTTGAAAAGTGCGCGGTCCCCCTTTTTACAGGCCACAGAGGGCGCACTGGTTTGTGGTCTCCACTAGAAATTAGGGACAGGGGTGGAAGGTGTACGTAGAAAGAAAAAAGCTTAGGGCTTCTTTTGTTTTCCTCCTCTGTGTGGTGTTTTTTCTTTTTTTTTTCCTGTTTTTTAGCTTATCTACACAATTTCATGCACCGTTTCCTGATCCCCGACGCCCGCTACCTATCCCTCCCCTTTTCCTGCTAGTTATGAAAGTTTTTCCTGCTGGCCGCTTCTGCGGCTACTCTCCCAGAAAACTGGTGGAGCCGGTGGCTGCGGCGCCTTTTCGCAAAGAAACCGCTAGATGGCACCCTTGCTCCACGTGAAACTCCCGGGAGCGGCGGCTCAGGATGTCTGCGCCTCGCACCGCGCCTTGGTCGGCCCTGAATCCAGGAACTGAGTGCTACCAAAAGTCATGAATAATTTGCCCCCAATAAAAAAAATAGGGCTCTTTATGGCCTTACCCCCATTTTATAGATTTCAGTTATAGTAGTGTTCCCCATCTTCTCAAATGGTCAATTTCTGAATTTTCCCCACGAGGAGGGCTCAGTGCTTCTCACCCAGTTGCTGTGTTCCGTGGGGCAACAAATGCGTGAAAACGGGGAATAATAGTAATAATAGGAATAATGGGTCCAAATCCAAAAGGAGAATTGATTCGAAAAAACGAGATTTTCCGTGAAGGGAGGCGAAAGGAATGTCCTTGGATGCGGGTGAGCAGGTCAGGTGAGAGGGGCGAGTCGGCAAAAGAAGGTAGAATGGAGAGGAAGCTGCCCTGAGGCGGGCTGCCCACCAGCTAGAGAGAAAATCAATCGCATAAGCCAGCCCGAGACCCCCCAGTTTGTGTGGGTGAATGGAGCCATAGCTTTTGTGGGGATTCGGAGGTGCTCGGAGCAGGCAGGGCGGCTTCGCACGGGCGCAAGCTCTGGTGCCTTTGTATGAGTCCGGGGCTGGGCTGGGCTCGCGCAGGGCGATCTAGGCACGGGGCAGGGGCTCCCCAGGGCAGCGGGGTGCGGGAAAGCTCGGATATCGCCTCTGGATGCTTTGCGCGGCCCCAAAGAATGCGCGTTTTCCCATGGGCGCGAAGGCGGGCGCGGCGTCAGGACGCTGGAGCTCGGTTCTCCCTGGGTTCCTCGGCTTCCAGGTGAGAGTTGCGGCTTCCGCGCGCCTTGGCCCTGGCCGCAGGCAAACCTGGGGGCGCCGGTCCTTTCCTCATTGAGCAGTTGGAGGTCTGGACTCCGGGCACTTTCGCTTTGAGACCCGCACCCTGGTGACTGTCCACAGCCCCTTGCATTCCAAATCTCCTATGTCCTCCCGGCCCCGCCGGATCCCTGCCTTCCATCCGACAAACCTGCGCCAGCAATAGATACACCCTCCCCTTCAAAATCACCCCAGCTGCAACATCTCCTCTCCCCCACCAGGACTCAGTGTAAGGAGGTAAGCGGAGTTTCTCCTCAACTTGAATTTCTCTAATAAATCTGCCCTCCACTGGGTGTTTATAAATTGTCTCCTCGCTCTTTCTGGTCCCCCCCCCCTCCATAATAGAAACATTTTCCTTCCATCAGGAATTTCTGGCACGGTGTAGAGATGATTTAGAACAAGCCATTGAATTTGTACCTCGCCGGTGAGTTTTCAAATAATGACCATAAAATCCTCTGCACTTGATAAAAATGTTTGCTTCGGCAACAACTTAACTCGGCCCTCCGTTGCCTCACGGTCCCCTCAGCCAGGCGCTGAAAATTCAAAGCCCTGGTTCTCTCCACTCCTCCTTTCCTTTACCTCTCTCCCCCTTCTAGCCCCTCTCTCATTCTCTGGGTTCACTTTTGAAGAACTAAATGACCTCACTGGTAAGGTTCCCTTTGGAAATGTGAGTTTCATTTTTACAAATGTTGGGGTGTATGGGGTCCCCAAAAGGTGCCCGTGGAAAAACAAACCACTGTTTCCTGAATAAACAATGGATTGAATGTATTTGTAAAGCCTCCACTTCTGTTGCTCAAAATTTTCTTTCTTTCTCTCCTTCCTCTTCCTTACCAATCTGCTGCTACAGGAGGCTATTGGTTCTGACCCTCAGACTGAGGCCTTCTAAAGCCTGGCCACCATCATCGTGAGGCTCGGTAGGCAGGGAATGCGGTGGCCACAGAGTGTGGCACCCAGTCAGCTTGTTCCAGCTTTCCGTGTTCAGGCCTCTGGTCCCTAGGTCTGCAGGGAGAGCCAGGTTTAACCAGTGGCTCCCCAAGGGGAAAGGAGAGAAAATGGGGGACTTAGAAACCTTACTCTATCTGAATCCCACACCGAAGTCAGTTTAAGTGGTGACTGGCTCAAAAGGTCTTGGGGACACTGAGGACTAATAGATGCCTCCCAAACACATACTCTGCAGGCACTGCCTAGGGCGGCTGAGAGCATAGGACAGCAGACACCAAGGCCAGGTGCCAGGGTCTGATACCGAACCTTCTTTCCTTTTGATGCGTTGATGGGCTCAGTGGTGCCCTCTCACCCTAGGGCACTGCAGAAGGTGTGGGGGTCGGCCTGAGAAGGTTGGGAGCTGCTAATAATTGGGCTTGGCTACTGGGTCCTGAGGTGCAGTTGTGGGGTAGCCCAGTGGGGCTTCATCCCTCTGATGGCATCAGGCCCTCTCCCCTCATGCAAAGTCTGCCCTCAAAAGTGCTGACTGGGCTGAAGGGCCTTCGGGAGACCCCCTTTTCAGCAAGCAGAGATTGCACAAACCTGCAGAATCGGCAGTGGCAGCTCGAACTTTGCTCTGTGCTTCAACCACTGCTCATTAACCAGAAAGTTTCTTCTTCCCTCCCGTTCCCTTCTTAAGATCTCCCAGATCCCTGTTTCACAGAAAATCTTTGCTTATTTGTTTAATGAGAGGAAGTTTTGTGACTGGCCAGGGCAGGGCAGAGAGGGCAGGGCAGAGAGGGGACCTTTTGGGGGCTCCAGAGAAGGGGTGGGGGCAGGTGCTTGCCAGGACGGAAGGAGATGAAAATCTCAGAAAAGTCACCGTTTGTGCCGAAAAAAATCCCCATAATCATTCTCATTTCGGCTTCGTCACCCCCACCGTGCTGCAGTCGGGCGGCGGGGGCGATCGAAGCTGCAGTTTTATAGCTGTAGAGGAAAGAACTCGTAAAATGCTAACAGCTTTTATGCGCTGCGGCATAAACAACAACAGACTCCGGCTTTATTGCGTTTTATAGTTTGTTAAAGAGTTTACAGCCGTTTTTTGGGGGGCCGGTTACCCAGCCAATTCCCTCCACATGATAGTTAAACCTTTATCAATAATAAGGAAATTGATCATTAAAGCTTTAAATATGACTACCTCGTTTGTTTGAAAATATGTTTAGGAGAGGAAGCTGTATGATTTGATAACTTGTATTAAAATACCAATTACATTTATAGGACCTTTTAAAACTCGGCGCAATTAAACCGTGTTCTTTTACATTTTTCCGAAGCGACCCTGACATTTAGAAAGACTCCAATTGCCTCGTTAAAATCGCGAAATTAACAGCGTGCCTACGCCTGGCGCGTTGTGTGTGTGTGTGTGCGTGTTTTTTTCCGTGACTCCCCCACATCAGTCTTTGGGGGTGGTCTGCGAAGGTATTTGATTTGTTGTGAGGCGAGAGATATCTCATTAATGTAGGTAGTTAAACAGATTTAATCCGTATTCATTCTCTCTCACCCTCTCTCCCTCTCCCCCTCTCTCTCCCCCTCTCCCCTTCTCTCTCCCTGGGTGTTTTTTTCTTCCCCTCCTTTTTTTTTTTTCCGCTCTCTCCTCACTCCCTGGCGCTCGCTCGCTCTAGCTCTCTCTCTCGCTCGCTCTCTCTCGCTCTCACCCTCGCTCTGCGTTCTGTCCGGGAGGAGTACGAAGAAGCCAATAGGATGCGGGGTCTCTAATGGATGCAAATGATCATGAAAAGACAGTGCAAAATATGAAACAACTCATTTGCAGGGAAGTAAATCACCGAAAACTGTTTATGAACTGGCATCCCTTCTTCGAAATGTAAAGCGAGGACCTCTTTAAGTGGCGGTATATTTTTGTTTGGGGGGTGGGGGGTGGGGGGAGGGCGAGCGAGCCGCGGCTGCCATGCAAGCTTAGACTTTTGGAGGCTTCTCTGTCCTTTTCTATTCCTGGAAATCACAAAAAGTGTGGCGACTTCGAGATCTTCTTCGCCTTTTCTTTCTTTTCTTTTCTTTTTTTTCCTCCTCTCTTTCCCTCTCCTTTCCTGGCGAGGGTGACTAGAAGCCGGCGAATCCGCGTTTTTTTTTCTCTCTCCCTCCCTTTCCCCCTCCCCACCCCCTCCCCAACAGCCCCCAACTACAGCCTCCGCCGCCGCCGCCGCCTCAAAATTCAATAAAATGAGCTCTTATTTCGTCAACTCACTGTTCTCCAAATACAAAACCGGGGAGTCCCTGCGCCCCAATTATTATGACTGCGGCTTCGCCCAGGACTTGGGCGGCCGACCCACCGTGGTGTACGGTCCCAGCAGCGGCGGCAGCTTCCAGCACCCTTCGCAAATCCAGGAGTTCTACCACGGGCCGTCGTCGCTGTCCACGGCTCCCTACCAGCAGAACCCGTGCGCCGTGGCGTGCCACGGGGACCCCGGCAATTTCTACGGCTACGACCCGCTGCAACGCCAGAGCCTATTCGGTGCGCAGGATCCAGACCTGGTGCAGTACGCAGACTGCAAGCTTGCCGCCGCCAGCGGCCTGGGCGAGGAGGCCGAGGGCTCCGAGCAGAGTCCGTCGCCCACACAGCTCTTCCCCTGGATGCGCCCGCAAGGTGAGCTCGCCTCGGGGCCGGCAGGGGCAGGAGGGGGCCGGGAGGGCCCAAGGCCGGGCAGGGGGCCGGGCAGGCCAGGGCGCATTTCCTCCAGCTTCTGGAAGACTTGCCGGCTCCGTTCCGATCGCCTGCCGCTTTTTCCCTTTCTTTCTTCTTTCTTTCTTTTTTCTTTCCCTTGAAGGGGGTCGCTTAGAAACATTTCCTGAATCTATAAACCCCTCACCCTGCCTTACTTTTCTTCTTCTTCCTCTCCTTTTTTTTTTCCCCGTTTACTGTTTTATGGGGGGTAGTGAAGAGAGGGTGGTGGGAGTGGGGGCGCTCAACTTTTGCACTTCTCAATTGCTTTATAGTTTAATTACCCTGAAGAAACTTTTCTTCTGGGGCAGAGGCTCTGGGGAATTTTCAAGGTGGGTTCATTCGTCCCCACCCGGCTTTTTTTATTCTTATTTTCCCCCCTCCTTCACATCCTTCCTCCTAAAGTTTATGGCACTTTTAATAGATCTGAACCACCTCCTACCCAACTCTGGTGCTGGTTACCAGGGGAGAGGGCTCCCCTTTCTGGCTCCCTTAGATTCACTGGTGTCTGATCCCCCTCGCCCCTCCTCCTCCGCTGACCGCGGCCTTCTCGCGCCCCCCGCCCCCGCACGGGGTAGACGGTCCCCTGCCCTTATTATATTGGTCTCCTAGGCTCGTTCACGAATCTTCCAACCTTCTCCGTCTCTGCCCCCTCCCCCACCCTCCCTCCCCTCTGTCTCGCTCTTTCCCCCATTCCCAGCAGCCGCCGGACGCAGGCGAGGCCGACAGACCTACAGCCGCTACCAGACCCTGGAGCTGGAGAAGGAGTTCCTATTTAATCCCTATCTGACTCGCAAGCGGCGAATCGAGGTATCGCACGCGCTGGGACTGACAGAGAGACAGGTCAAAATCTGGTTCCAGAACCGGAGGATGAAGTGGAAAAAAGAGAACAACAAAGACAAGTTCCCCAGTAGCAAATGCGAGCAGGAGGAGCTGGAGAAACAGAAGCTGGAGCGGGCCCCAGAGGCGGCGGACGAGGGCGACGCGCAGAAGGGGGACAAGAAGTAGGCTCCAGCTGGGACTGCCAGGGCCGCGGCCGCCCGCACGTCCGCGGGTCCCGGCCGCGCCGCCGCCGCGCGCCCCTGCCCGAGAGAGCTCTCGCCCCGCTAGCGGGGCCAGGAGCCGGGCCTCCCACCGCAGCGTCCCCCGCCGCGCTAGTCCCCGCTAGTGGTAGTATCTCGTAATAGCTTCTGTGTGTGAGCTACCGTGGATCTCCTTCCCTTCTCTTGGGGGCCGGGGGGGAAAGAAAAGGATTTAAGTAAGGACTCCCTCGCCTTGTGAGGCTGAGCGGCCAAGGCCCGGCTGAGCCCCCCATGCCCCTCCCCACCCCATGTAAAAAGCCTCCTTGTGCAATGGTCTTTTTTTCCTTTGAACGTGCTTCTTTGTAATGACCGAGGTACCGATTTCTGCTAAGTTCTCCCAACAACATGAAACTGCCTATTCACGCCGTAATTCTTTCTGTCTCCCTTCTCTCTCTCTGTCTCTCTCTGTCTCTCTCTCTCTCTCTCTCTCTCTCCCTTTTGGTCTGTTTCTCTCTGTCTCCGTCTCTGTCTCTCTGTCTCTCTCTGTCTCTCTCTCTCTCTCTCTCTCTCTCTCTCTCTCTCTCGCTGCGTCCTCATTTCCCCTCCCAATCCTCTCTCCTCGCTGCACCCCCCAGCTCGCTGGCTTTCTCTCTGGCTTCTCTCTTTTCCTCTCCACCCACCCCCTTTGGTTTGACAATTTTGTCTTAAGTGTTTCTCAAAAGAGGTTACTTTAGTTAGCATGCGCGCTGTGGGCAATTGTTACAAGTGTTCTTAGGTTTACTGTGAAGAGAATGTATCCTGTATCCGTGAATTGCTTTATGGGGGGGAGGGAGGGCTAATTATATATTTTGTTGTTCCTCTATACTTTGTTCTGTTGTCTGCGCCTGAAAAGGGCGGAAGAGTTACAATAAAGTTTACAAGCGAGAACCCGAGACTGGCCCGGCCAGAGCTCCTCATTTGCTCCCGGGTGCCTTGCAGAACCTGTGGGGAGCCTGTCACAGGGCTCCTGCGCCTGCTGAGGCTAGGCCGCAGAGAGGAGGGGGCGGGGGCTGGAGGCAGGTGGTGCGAGTCCTTCGGCCCAGGGGCGCTGGGGGTGAAGGAGGCGGCTGCGCCTGATTGGAGGAGAGAAAAACGAGGGAGGGGAGCCAAGAGAAACCCCCTCCTCTCGCGTTCCGAGGCTGCCCTGCCCGGGAGACCAGGGCGCCCAGGCCACGCTGGAGACTTGCGGCTGGGCTGGTGGCTGTGTCCCCCGCCACCTCCCTCTTTGTTTTGCTGTGTGTCCTCCCGAGTGTGTGTGTTTCGGGGGTGGGGGGGGGAGGTGGGAGGGTGGCAGGCATAAAGGAGGAGTGCAGGCCTGCTGAGCATACTTTTTTTTCCTCTTGGATTCTTGTTGTTGGGGGAGCAGAAGAAGGGAGACCGCTCTTCCCTGCCTCTCCCTCTCTGGGACTTGGCCACCTTCTCTCTGTTCTGAGGCCGTGGCTGGCTGCCTTCCTTCCTTGGCTGCCTCTGCTTCTCTGGTAGTCACGCTCCACTGAGGCATCCGCCTCCGGGAACCGGGAGAGCAGCGCGCCCGGACTACCCTCCACCCTTCCTTTCTCTCCCCACCCACCCAACCCCTTTCTTTCTTTTACTTTCAAACCTTTTTTTTTTTTTTTTTTGCCACCAGAAACTGCAGCGTTCAAGGCCGGTGGGCTGGATCCTGTGCCCTAGGAGCACCTAGGAAGCCTTGCTCCATCTGCGCCCGCATATCTGGGGCACCAAGAGAGACAGAGCCGTGAGCCAGGCTCGCCTCATTCCTCGTCTTGGGAGAACCGGACCAACTTCCCCAAAAGGCCTTGCCGTGCACAATTGGCCCTGATTAATAAAGAGCAGACCTGCCCCAAGCACCCACCCACCCAGTTGCATGCATTCAATCCCTGCATTTGTCTCTCGCTCGGTAACGGGCTGAAGAGGATGGGTGGGGGGAGGGTGACAACACGGATCGCCCCGAGGTTATTTTCCCTTCCACTCAATCTCTTCTTCCCCAAATCTCGCCTGCAAGCTGCCTCCAGCCCGCGGGAGTCGGCAGCGGCCCTTGAGCCCCTAGCCCCAATCCACAGGGTTCGGCTATCCCATTCATTATTGATCATATTTTATAAATCCAACGCCACACAATTTTTTCCGTATTACCGGGAGCCGTGGGGAGGCGGGCCGGCCATTGGCGGAGGGGACGTCACGTGGGCGGGGGTCACGTGGTCCGGAGAGGAAAAAGGGGGTCCTTTTTGGTGTAAATCTGGACTCTAATTCTGTAATATATCAAGGAATCTCGTAAAACCGACACTAAAACGTCCCTGCCTACAAATCATCCGGCCAAATTATGAGTTCATTGTATTATGCGAATGCTTTATTTTCTAAATATCCAGCCTCAAGTTCGGTTTTCGCTACCGGAGCCTTCCCCGAACAAACTTCTTGTGCGTTTGCTTCCAACCCCCAGCGCCCGGGCTATGGAGCGGGTTCGGGCGCTTCCTTCGCCGCCTCGATGCAGGGCTTGTACCCCGGCGGGGGGGGCATGGCGGGCCAGAGCGCGGCCGGCGTCTACGCGGCCGGCTACGGGCTCGAGCCGAGTTCCTTCAACATGCACTGCGCGCCCTTTGAGCAGAACCTCTCCGGGGTGTGTCCCGGCGACTCCGCCAAGGCGGCGGGCGCCAAGGAGCAGAGGGACTCGGACCTGGCGGCCGAGAGTAACTTCCGGATCTACCCCTGGATGCGAAGCTCAGGTAACGCCGCGCACCGAGCTGTCCCGAGCCCCAGGGGCCGGGGCACATTACCCGGAAGGCGCCCCCTTCCCGGCAGGGCGCCCCTTTCCGCGTCCAGAGTGCTCTCCAGCCGGAGGTCGGCCTGGAGGGCTGCACCCACTGGGCCGCGACCCAGCAGGCCGTCCCCGCCCCCATATTTGCTCGGTGCTCTCAGGCTTGCTCTGCTTCCCGGCGGATCTCTCTTCGCCGACACCACGGCGCTTCGAGCCCCCAGCCCGCCCCCACCCTTCCTCTCGGCCTTTTAGCTTTAAATATTTATCAGCAGCGCCGGCACGGGCTAGAGACGAGGCCGTTTGTCTTGCGGAGGAAGGCCGGTGTTTGCAGAGAATAGCTATTAGGGTCTCCCCCCTTCTCCCCCCTTCCCAGCTAAGGATCTCAGCCCTGGGTGTGTCCCACTGCCCCAGCTCGGATAAGGTATGGGGGAGGGGGCCATAGCGCTAAGCAATTCTCCCCTCCCCCTTCCTTTCCAGCCAACCCCGCTCCCCCATTATTCCCATCAGGACAATTAGAGGTGGGCTCTAGAGGCCTGGCGGGAGGAGAAAAGGACCCAGCCAGGGACACAGAGCTAGAGAGGCAGGTGGAGGGAGGGGACTGAGGCCGAGGGAGATGAGCCTCCTGATCCCAGTGAACTTGGGTGGGGGAGTGGAACAGGAGAGCTAGAAAGGGGCAGAGGCTTCATGGGAGTGCAGCTGGTTTCCTCAGGTGCTCTTCCTAGGGCTCCTAGGAACCCCTAAAGAACTGGCCAAGTTTGGAGGTGTCAATCCAGATAAGTGGCTCTCTTCTTGGGGGAGGGGCTAGGACTCCCTGGAGCCAAATAAAAACTTAGGGAGTGCAGTTCACCCAGCCAGCTGCTACAGGAACCCCAAGAGGCTGAGGTTCCATGGAGTCCCTGCCAAGTCTGACCCAGACATCCTTTTCTGCACTGTTTCAAAGCAGATGAACGTGGGAGGTAGCCCCAAAGTCCAGAAGACCCAAGACTCATGGTCAGAGGCACACAACCCAGTGATGATCAGGGGCCAGAAGGAGCCCGGCTCTCACACTATCAGTATTGGTGGTTATAGACTCCTTTACCTGCTCCATAGTTTAACTGCCTTTCCAGTTGATTTATCAAAGCCCCACTTTTTCTGCTCGTAAGCATTTCAGCTTGGCTTTTATCTGACTTGAAACTAGGGCCCCTAGCCCCTCCTCCCCTGACTCCTTCCCAGGAGGGCTGACATCAGCACCTCTCTCAGTCTCCTCAGGGTTCTGGGCCTAAGGCAGAAGTTCCCCTCTATCCTTCAGCCCCACCACCCAGATACTCCATGTTCCATCCTATCCCAGGCTACTGTCTCTCCTCTTCCCCTGTGCCTTCCTGGAGGCCCAAAGATTGCTTTAAAGAGCTGGGCTGTCTAGGCAAGCAGGCAAGCCTGGCCCTGGCTGAAGCTTAGCCACTCACTGGAAAAGAATCATCAGAGGGTCACTGCTGTCAGACCAACTGTTTGCTCCAAGGAAATCTGCAAATTCTTACCTTCTCATTCCACAACATGCTGGGGATGAGTTGGGGAGACTGGGCCTTTGGGGCCCCTTTGTCTCCTTTTCTTCTTGGGAAATGCTCTCAAGCCAGGCCTGGCACCCCACTCCAGGGTCACTTGCATGGTTTCTGTTGGTCTCTACTTGAAAGACCATCAGATCAGCATTCAAAAGAGGGGGTTTAGGGTCCTTGATCCCAGAGAGTGAAAGGAAATTTAACCTCCCCTCATCCCACTTGCACCCCCTAGGAGCAGAGCTGTTTAAGAGCCAGCAGGTTACTTTCCTGGGTTCAGAAGCTCCAGGCTGAAAAAGACTTCTTGGATGGAAAATGGGAATGTTTGCCTTGAGAAGCCTGTAGAAAATTCTGCAATTAGGGGAAACTGCAGCTGGAGTAAGGGTTGGGGTATGGAAAGCCAGAATTTGGTTTAGTGGGAAAATGGGCTTCTTCACCCATCGACTTCAAATCACATACAGGGTCTAAAAGAGAGGTGGGCACTATCTTGGCGTTTTCTGTACTCACTGATTTTACTCACTGATTTTCCTCTAAATGCTGTGCACAGGAACTGACCGCAAACGAGGCCGCCAGACCTACACCCGCTACCAGACCCTGGAGCTGGAGAAAGAATTTCACTACAATCGCTACCTGACTCGGCGGCGGCGCATCGAGATCGCGCACGCGCTCTGCCTCACGGAAAGACAGATCAAGA